GTAATCCAAACTAGGTCTCTATTTGTCAATCAAAGCACTTTTTAGTGTGTTTTTTTTTTAAAAAAAAATATAGCATAACATCAATAACCAGGTTATTGTTTGACAAGTATTATTCATGTGGTTCCTTAACTCTTGCAGAAAAATTCTTGCTTTTTAATTAGTGAAAAATGGTGAGCTATCTCTCAAACTCTTAATAATCCTTCACGTCATTCAGAAAACTGACACAGTAGTGAACTGGAATGTTTGATCCAAGAACTGAGACATTTTTCCACACACTGATGTCAAACAGCACCCTTTACCATCTCATAAATTGTCTCAAGGAAAAGAAAATATTTTGTGGTAGGAAGAAAACAGGGATAATAATAATAATAATAATAATAATAATAATAATAATAATAATAATAATAATAGTAGTAGTAGTAGTAGTAGTAGTAGTAGTAGTAGTAGTAGTAGTAGTAGTAGTAGTAGTAGTAGTAGTAGTAAAGTTGGAAGGGACCTTGGAAGTCATCTAGTCCAACCCCCTGCTCATGCAGGAAACCCTATACCATTTCGGACAAATGGCTGTCCAGCCTCCAGTCCCCTAATCATCTTTGTTGCTCTTCTCTGTACTCTTTCTAGAGTCTCAACATCTTTTTTACATCGCGGTGACCAAAACTGGATGCAGTATTCCAAGTGTGGCCTTACCAAGGCATTGTAAAGTGGTATTAACACTTCACGTGATCTTGATTCTATCCCTCTGTTAATGCAGCCTAGCATTGTGTTGGCCATTTTGGCAGCTGCAGCACACCGCTGGCTCATATTTAGGTGATTGTCCACTAGGACTCCAAGGTCCCTCTCACAGTTACTACTATTGAGCAAGGTACCTCCTATACTATACCTGTACATTTGGTTTTTCTTGCCTAAATGTAGAACCTTGCTTTTTTCACCATTGAATTTCATTTTGTTAGATAGCGCCCAGTGTGAAGTGCTATACTTCACTGTTCATCAGGTGATCCACAGAACAACAGACGTTCAACTTTTTTTTGTCAAATACTATTTTTGTGTGATAACCACAAGCATCAAAAGTGCCATGCAGTAATCAAGTTATAAATAGAGCCTCTTCATGGGCTTGAAGTTAAAAAAAGGAAAACCTGTAGTACTGTTTCACATGGCTCAAGCAACAAGCCTGGGTAGATGGGCCAACTTGGAGAAATCCATGTGCAAAATAAAGTTTTAGACAATACATGAATGGGATTTGGGAATGCAATGCATAGTTGTGGTTTTTTAAATTTTCAGCAACAAAACACTGCATATTTACAGAGAAAATATATGCAGAAAAAAAATAGCATGCTTCATATTTTACTAGAAGGCAACAACAGCCAGGGAAATTCCAAACAGCCTGTAAAATGAGCACATTTGGAAGCACTTTCCATGTTGAACATTTAGAACACCAAATAAACAAACTAGTAAAGGAAGAAAAGAGAGGAGACATAACTACGAGGAAGGCAGGCAGATGTTAAATGGAGAGAAAAAAAAGTTGAAAACTACAAAATTATCAGCAGTGCAGTAGAAAACAAAACAAATGTAATTAGCTGCTTGTGTTTATGTGTTTGCTTATTTGTTCTGATTTTTCTCCTGATTCCTTTCCTTGGGTTAGTGTTAATAAGACAAGAAATGGTTAAAGAAGTGCAAAGATGGTCTTTTCAAACCAGGGCACTGACACACTCACCCGTGGGAGTTCTCCCAATTAGTACTGCCAAATATGTCAAGACTCAGGGAATAATCTAGAAATGTTTCCTTCGGATATAGCAATAAGCATTCAATACAAGCTAAACAGCAGTTGGAAGAAGGAAGAACAGGACAAAACTACTTGTCAGATGTCATGAATTAATTCTTTGCAGAGTAAAAATAAAATAAACTTTGTTACTCACTACTCTGGCACATGAACTATTTTTTGACTAAGATAGGGAAAACTACAGGTAGTCCTTGACTTACAACAGTGACTGTTCAAAGTTACAACAGCACTGAAAAAAGTGACTTATGATTGTTTCTCACACTTACGACCGTTGCAGTATCCCTGTGGTCACGGGGTCAAATTTCAGATGCTTAGCAAGTGGTTCATATTTATGAAGGTTGCAGTGTCCTGAGGTCATGTGAGTTTGAGGCCTTCTGACAAGCAAAGTCAATGGGGAAGCCAGACTTAACAACCATGTTACTAACTTAACAAATACAATGATTTACTTAACAACTGTGGCAAGAAAGGTTGTAAAGTGGGGCAAAACTCACTTAATAAATGTCTCACTTAGCAACAGAAATTTTAGGCTCAATTGGGGTCGAGGAGTACCTATACCAGGGATGCCAAACTCGCAACGTCACGTGGCATGTCGTGACGTGTCGCAACTTTTTTTCCATTGCCGGCAATGGGGTGGGCGCAGTTTCACCATGACGCATCTGGCCCACAGGCTGGCAATTTGACACCCCTGACCTATACCAAGTTAAAAACAGGCATGTTAGAGCAAGGTAGTGCAGCAGTAATTCTTCTCCAAAATATCTCTGAGTGTTGTTGGAGTCAGTTTTTACAAAATCATAAAGGAACATAAATGGGCTCAATTGTGGTCATAACTCAAGGACTACCTGTATTGTAGTGAAAACTAAATTTTAACTAACAACTCTGTTAGCCCTTCACAAGGCATTGAAGACCTGGCTTTTCCCCCATGAATTGGGTCAGGTGGGTGGCTGAGCTCTCTTATTATGCATGTGGTTTTATTAAGTTTCTTGGTGAATGGAGTTATTGTTTATCACTGGGTGCCAGTTGGTTATATATGGTGAGTTTTCTGACTTTTAATCTTTGCCAAAGCAAAAAACTGATGGCTCATCAAACAAATCAACCCAGAGTTCCCAACGGAGGCTCAAATGACTAGACTTTGGACACATTATGGGAAGACCGAATTCTCTAGAAAATCTTGGGAAAGGTAGAGAAAGATAGAAAGAAAGGTAGAAATGTAGAAAGGAAGAAAGGAAGGAAGGAAGGAAGGAAGGAAGGGAAAAAAAGAAAAGAAAAAGGAAAAGAAACAAGAAAAGAAAAGGAAGACTAGCAGCAAGTTGGATGGATTCAATTACAGTAGCAATGAGTGCACCATTGGGAGACCTGAAAGTTCAGGTTAGGAACAGATCATCAAGAGTCGTGGTGGCGCAGTGGTTAGAATGCAGTATTGCAGGCTAACTCTGCCCACTGTCAGGAGTTCGGTTTTGGCCGGCACAAGATTGACTGTGCCTTCCATCCTTCCAAGGTCGGTAAAATGAGGACTCAGATTGTTGAGAGCAATATGCTGACACTGCAAACTGCTTAGAGAGGGCTCTAAAGTACTATCGAGCAGTGTATAGGTCTATGTGCTATTGCTAATGCTATCAAGAAGAAAATCTATGTTGTTGCTAGGAATTGAACATGACTTGATGGCATATTATCAGCATCATCAATCTTTGCAATCAACACCGTCCATTGTGTGAAATAGGCATCTATATAAATCAAATAAATAAATAAAGTTTCTCCCAAACCTTATTCCTATTTTTAGCCTTAAATGTTGTATAAAACTATTTGGGAAAGCATTGGTCATGCACACTTATCTTGATATCAACCAATCAATTAGAATCAGGCTTTAAAGCAAAAATAATGTGCTTCTGAATATATGTTCCAACATGTCATTTTCTATTTATCCCAAACAATATTCCTCAAAAGAATTAAGAAGAAAGGCAGATAGGAAATACAGCCGTGTTTCTCATAAATCTGCATTCCCCCAAAGATGGTTTACTGAAATTTAAAATTTGCCCTCACTCTTTTAGCAAGTCCATGTGTAGCATGGAAACATCTGACTAAAGGTAGTAGAAAATATTTCTGCCCTCAAAAGAAATCCACGCCAAAGTTGTAATCCTCCATTACAACAATTCTCCTTCACAAGCTAACATTTTATGGATTCTTTTCTATCTTAACCAACTCTAGATAGCTCTGTCATCCTTCTGGGCTTGGATAAGAAGAGCCAAGGGTCCAGGAGATGAAAACTCCACAATTTAGATAAGAAGGCAAATACAGAGGGAAGAAAGCAAGAGTGAAATCCTTGGTGCTTTCTGACCTAGTTTGTTCATCAATATCAACAGAAGAGAATATTAGTAGCTCAGGGTTGAACTGCAGAGTCCTTGGTGCTCTCTGAGCTTAGTTATTTTCTTGCAGACATTTCAGGTAACATCATCAATATTAACAGAAAAGAATATTTGTAGCTCAGGGTTGAACTGTGGAGTCCTTGGTGCTCTCTGAGCTTATTTTTCTGCAGATGTTTATTACTCATTCATTATCCACTGTATATGTTACATATACAATGGATAATGAATGAGTAATGAAATGACTGCAAGAAAACAACTAAGTGCAGGGAACACCAAGGACTCCGACATCATCAATTTTATAACATTCAAGAGTTCAATCTGTATCAGTATTATGACGTTCAGGAACCAATGATGTTCAAATGCTCAACAATAGAGGAAGAAAAGTGAAACTTTACTATTGCCCTTTGCCTTCTCCCAAGAAGCTGTCTAAACTTCAAAACAATCTTCTCTATCGTTCTTCCCCATAATCTACCAGCAATTGAAACAGAGTCACAAGGCTCTATTATAGGCTGCTGTTCAGTTCCAGGAAGAATATAATGCTGGGAGAGAAACACCAAAGAAAGAATGATAACTGTTCACTGTGAATTCATAACCTTTCTTCTATAAACACAAGAACTTAGTCAACGATGATCTGACTTTTTATTTTCTCAGACGACTTACATACCCACACACTTGCTTTTCATAGTGCTGATAAATAAACATTCACTCTGTAAAATAACACCACCATAGAAAATCTGCAAAACCCAAACCCTCCTTTCAAAACAATTGAAAATTTTAAGGCCATCAGATGGTCTTCATAATCAGGATCAGTATTCAGCAATAAAGAATGCAATGTAAGAGGCAAAAAAATAGTTCTTTCTACTCACCCAGTACTGATAATTCAGCTAATGCACTACTATTCTCATCTCTGTATGTGACCATACAGATATAACTTCCAGAATCATCATCCGTTGCATTAGAAATCAATAAGTTACTGCCAGCCAACAGTGAATATTTTTTGGATCTGAAAGATTAACATAATATCACTGTATCAAGTAAGACAATATGCAAGACTTATTTTCTCTATGGGTTGATTTATTTTAGATTTATATCACATCTTTTTTTGTTCAAAGAGCTGAAGCATGGCAATTCTGTTCTTCCAGAACACACCAAGAAATCTAGCTCTGGCTGGCTCAGGAATTCTGGGAGTTGAAGTCCACGGGTCATAAAAGAGCCAAGGTTGCCTACTCCTGGTCTAGTGGTTAAGGCACTAGACTAGAAAGTGGGAGACTATGAGTTCAAACCCCGCTTTAGCCATAAAAGCCAGCTGGGTGACCTTGGATTAGTCCCCCTCTCTCATCCCAACCCACCTCACAGGGTTGTTGTTATGAAGATAATAAGAGGAAGATTGTGTTGGATGTGTTTGCCACCTTCAGTTATTTGTAAAAAAAAAAAGCAGGATATAAATAAATAGTCATAAAATGTGGTCATGCGACTGAGGAAGGGTGCAAACGGCCATAAATATGACCACGTTGTGGGTGTCAGAACTGGTCATATCTGCCCTTTTTCATGTAGGTCATGACTTTGAACGGTCGCTAAATGAATGGCTGTAAATAAAGAGCTCCCTGTATTCATTTATCAATCAAATTTATATAACCAGTCCTTCCATGGGTTTAAACCCCTACATACCTGAATGAGATTGGTTCATCTCCTCGCAGCCACGTAAACGCTGGGGCTGGATAACCTGAAACACAGCACTCCAAAATGGCGTCTTTCCCTTCTACAACCACCATATTGGATGGTCTCTGAAGAAAAAATTGTTGCCTGTGCAAACCAGGATCTACAAAAAGAAAAAAAATGATTATTATATGACAACCACATTGTTTCTCTTAGTAACCACAGGGAACTGTATTTAAATAGTCACAGTGGGAATCTTTTGTATCACCTGAGGAGAGGAATTGTATAAGAGAAAAACGGCAGATAATGTTATTCAAGCTAGAACACCAGAAATACATATACAAAATAAGTATAGAAATCTTTGTGGCTGTATCAAGTACATTTTTTTTGGTTAAGCGCAGTGGAGGGAGGTATATTTATAGCTTGAGAGTTAATAATATCCTTCTTCAGTTTGTGAAGACCTGGTATATTACCTAATAGAGGGAGAAAATAAAAAATTTCAAATAGTGATTCTAGATAACAAGGCAGCCCAGCTTTCATTGTACTGGAAAAAAAAGTGAGTGAGATTTTTGATGAAATGCATCCTTTAAATAAAATCGTTCCGAGATACATTAATAGGCCTCAATCTCAAAATATGGTTCTTCTTCCCCCTCAAATAACTCTCTTTTTCCCTGCAAATCTCAATCACAGAATAATAGTTATAATTTCATTGCTATCTTAACATCTCTAGATCCTGCAGAAACATTATTGACATATGTCTTCTCCATTGTTAATATTGTTCTTGTTCTAAGATCCACTGAACCCTAAGAGAATATCTTATATTTTTTTTAGCATTCGGAAGTAAGCAATAATCATTTTCTATGCAATTATCATGGCCATTTCTCAATAAAACAACAGTTCCCCTCCCAGAAGATAATTGATTTTCCCTAGCACAATTACCACAAAATGTCTAGTAATTATCATTACATTTTTCCCACTTCTTATATTTTGAATTGCCTAAATGAAATGCAGTTACTATTGAAAAAAACTGGGATGGGGGAAAATAGAGAAAAGTAAACAATCAACTCAAAATTATTTTAATTGAATTAAGGGTTATGTTTCATATACATTTAATAACATGAATTGGACTGTTTCAGTTTACAATTTGAATAGGCATAATTAGAAGCCACAATTTTCTACTGTATTGCATTGTAGTTACTGAAGATCTCATAGAATTGTGTTTAATAGGTGAGGCTTATTTGTCAGTCCTTATAGGAAAAACAGAGTTGGAAGGGATCTTGGAGGTCTTCAAGTCCAACCCCCTACTCAAGCAGAAGACCCTATATCATTCCGGTCAAATGGTTGTGCAAAATAATAATAATAATAATAATAATAATAATAATAATAATAATAATAATAATAATTAATAATAATAATAATTATAATAATAATAATAATAATAATAATAATAATAATAATAATAATAATAATAATAATAATAATAATAATAATAATAATAATAATAATAATAATAGTTGGAAGGGATCTTGGAGGTCATCTAGTCCAACCCCCTGCTCAGGCAGGAAACCCTATACCATTTCAGACAAATGGCTGTCCAGTCTCTTCTTAAAAACTTCCAGTGTTGGAGCATTCACCGCTTCTGGAGGCAGGTTGTTCCACTGGTTAATTGTTCTAACTGTCAGGAAATTTCTCCTTAGTTCTAGGTTGCTTCTCTCCTTGATTAGNAGTCCAACCCCCTACTCAAGCAGAAGACCCTATATCATTCCGGTCAAATGGTTGTGCAATATAATAATAATAATAATAATAATAATAATAATAATAATAATAATAATAATAATAATAATAATAATAATAATAATAATAATAATAATAATAATAAAAGTTGGAAGGGACCTTGGAGGTCATCTAGTCCAATCCCCTGCTCAGGCAGGAAACCCTATACCATTTTGGACAAATGGCTGTCCAGTCTCTTCTTAAAAACTTCCAGTGTTGGAGCATTCCCCGCTTCTGGAGGCAGGTTGTTCCACTGGTTAATTGTTCTAACTGTCAGGAAGTTTCTCTTTAGTTCTAGGTTGCTTCTCTCCTTGATTAGTTTCCATCCGTTGCTAATCTCTTCTTAGTTTGCTTGGTTTGACCATGCAACATTGGACTGTGAAAATTAAATTAGTTTGTTGGAACAACATAAAATCTTCTTGTTCAGAATTACTTTTTGTTACAGGTCCTTTTTTAACCCATGTGAGATAGAATGCCTCATTTAGATTTGACTGGGAAAAAAAACAAATTAATCACCTCTCATCTGTACAGGTAGCCATCACAAACCTTTGCAAGAGTGGCCAAAATCACTCAAGATAGCAGTCATGACGACTGACTTAAAGTCCCGCCTTCTTTTTAGTTGCTTGCATTGGCTACACACATAAAAAAAGGGACAGGCTTTTGTTCAGATGGCCATAGCTGCCATCGTGGCTATTTTGGCCATCATGGTTTTGAATAGTTTGTATTGTTTTAATGTATTTTGATGGTTGTTGATGTTATGATTTTACATTGGTATTTTACATTTATTTGGTATTTTTAACTATGAGTCACTCCAAGCAGTGGTGGGATTCAAATATGTGAACAACCAGTTCTCTGTGTGGATGCCACTTCCGGAAGTCCATTCTGGGCCTGGGCAACAAAAAATTAGCTATCGGTTCTGCCGAAGTGGTACGAACTGATTGAATCCCACCACTGACTCATATTTGTGAGATGGGCAGTTATATAAATTGAGCAAACCAAATGCATCTAAATACATATAGCTGAGAATAGCTGTGCAGATTCCAAAAAGTTCATATTCCGGAAATTAGTTGGAAGAATACACATATTGATTGCTTGGTTTTCTTGCAAAGAGGGAAGAGAAACAATTCCAAATTTTAATGTAATCAGATGAAATCATTGGGTTCAATGCATGATATATCATAATACCTTCAGGTTTTGAAGAAGTATTTGGAAATTTTGTGAGGAAGGCCCAGTTTTACATTGTGTGTGTGTGTGTGTAATATATATAACTAACAAACTATTTCTATGTTAAATTTTAGATTTTTTTGCTGACAAAGAATTAAAGGGAGATTAGTATAGCTATTTTGAGCTATTTAGCTCTCATCAGCTAGCCATACCCTTCTGAGATTCGAACCCAGGCCACTTGCACGTTAGGCAGCTGTATTAACCTCTAGGCCATGGGTTCTCCTCGCTTTTGTCAGCTGTACCAGGGAGGAGAGATTAAAAGTGTTTATCCGGTGAAATTGGTCTAACAGAGCACCTGGTCTACCCAAATATGGGAAGGAGCAATCTGCTATTGCTTTCGCCTTTTAGCCCCAATCTAGGAGCTTTTACAGGCAGACACTACTGCGACAAACTATTTCTGTGTTAAATTTTAGATTTTTGCTGACAAAGAATTAAAGGGAGACTAGTATAGCTATTTTGAGCTATTTAGCTCTCATCAGCTAGCCATACCCTTCTGAGATTCGAAACCGGGCCGCTTGCATGTTAGGCAGCTGTATTAACCATCCCATATGTGTGTATGTGTGTATGTGTGCAGTATGTATGCAGGTGTCTGTTTATATATATGTATATTTGTGTGTATACAGTATGTGTGTGTACACACACACACACACAAACACACCGTATGTATGTAGGTGTGTGTATGTTTATACTGTATATGTAAGATTATGCACATAAATAAATGATAGGTGATAGATAGACAGACATACAGTATACATACAATATATATGGTTGAAAGAGGAGAAATAAAAACAAAATATTACTGTATCTCTCTTCTCTGATTGATGGTACTGTTTTTTATTATTTGTCAAATTTGTAAGACTATATTCAATGAATTCAGCTATCCAAAGAAATTCTGCATGGTGATCATTCCGTATAAAACATTGGAAATAATAAATCACAAAAAAACTTGGTCGAGGTCCTCTAATTAAAAAAACAGAACTCTTATGCTGTCTGTCAACATCAGGTCCTGATGACCTTCCAAAAGGCGTGTAAGGAATGGCATAATTAAAGTGACTATGATTGAGTTTCATTGATTATATATAAAAAGATGAAATGGGTAAAAATGAACAACTGCAGGGAACAAGCCGGTTCCAGGTTTAGGATGGTTTTTCAGAAATGGAAATGCTGGATATATATTTTGATATCCAAAGAAATAAGAGGAATTAGTGTAAAGATTTAACATTGGCATTTGGAAAAGGGATCTTCAGTACCTTTGCTCTTGGTTCTATAAGCAAATCCCTCACCTAAGATTACAATATATAAAAGGCACAGAGTACAAGTAAAACAAGCAGAAACTAAGTAAACCCAGTGACATTTTTAAAAGGCATCGTATAATCAGAACTAAAGCAGCAGCCATTGCTTACTTATGTTCCTTTGGCTGGTAAATAGTAATTTATTTCCAAAATAAAACCACTCTGTCTCACACATACACACACACACACCTATAAATACTCTCCTTAAAACTGATTGTTGTTTTGTTGTGAATTTAACCTCTGCCACCACCTTCTGCTCCCAATATTCTTATCTAGTCAACTTCTTATCTAGTCAACTCTCCATCCCTTGTTTCTCCAGTGTTTTGTTGCTGGAGCATGAAAAAGAAAAAGAAGGTTCAATAAACCTTCAAAATTCCAATTTTTGTGTGTACAGGTACATAACCACAGTAGCCTTTTGTTTGTTTCTGAAGACAAATTGTGTGGAGGCTGAAAGGGGAAAGCAGGTGATACTTCTCCTACACAATCAGTAGCTGAGAGAGACCTAACTTCTTCTCAAGGAAAAGGACTTTTGACCCTTCATATAAACAGAATGGGGAAAAGGGATAGCCAAGCTTCAAAGAGATTCCTCCTTAATGAATTCACTAACAAAGGAAGATTCGGAGGGTCCTATCCGAATTATCAAGATTCTGTGTTCCAAACCCCAATTTGTGGTATAAAAGAAAGTCCATTTGGATCTTATTATTGTCACTGAGCTCTGCAGTCAAACAGCTTGACAGACTACTACAATTTCTTGTTTTGCTGCTCTATAGTCCACTGAAGGAAGAAGGTTGTGAAAAGTTGTCATTTCCCACTCTGATTTAGGTTGACAAGAGCACGGCTTCACTCACTCAATAAGTGAGAAATAGGAAAGGCT